TCACGCTTGTTTCGTGTTTAACCGTGATTATGTTGGTCTGGCCATCCGTCTACACACGAAACACCGATAATTTGTCACTCGGCTCTTAAAATTTGCGCAATGATCAAAAAGTGAAGTGTAAGACTAGATACTATTTATTATCTAGACTTTTGCATACATTTAAAATAGGTGCCTTTTTTTATTTCCTCAAAGATTTATTAACGGAACACAATTAGCTATATACTAATCATCGGAACTCTATGTTATGTTCTATGTTCTTGAAGCAATCGCTTCTTAGTTTTTATTTAATTTACGTGTATCGTATCTATACAATAAGTAATCACTTAGCCGTACTATATCCAACTTGATACAAAATGTTTACGACACATAAGTAAAGTACCAGTGTTACTTAGTAAACGAGTTCTTAGCTATTAGGCGCATCTTACAAGATCTCTGCGGTAGGTAACCTCTAAAGAAAACACTATAAAACGCGTGGTATAAGTTTTTATACCTTACTTTATGAGGTCTTAATGGTGCCAGCAAATTTGCTCTCTGTCCGTCTTTATGGGCCATACATTGTTGGTTCTATTAGGTATTTGCTGCGATAAAAGCTGACCTCATCATGCCATACTTGCTATTCAAAGGATACTAACTTATAAATGGATACGCGATAGAATAAATTCAGTTCAAATCGAACCATAAAAAACGTTAAAAATCCCAGCCGAATACGGCTACGGAAAAAAGACTACATAATAATGTAGTCTTTTTTTTGTCTTTTTATTTAATATTTTTATAAAACAAAGTTACTATCAACTTTATCTTAAACGTATCTTAAAAGATTATAAAATCACGTGATTGTTTTCATATTAACACTAACTGTTGCCCGCAACTTCGTCCAAGCAATATTAAAATAAAAAGTAACCTAAAATATGCCCGTCTATGTCAGCTATCTTTCAATGAAAGTCCGCTTGAAATCGGCCCAGTCGTTTCGGAGATTACTCGGAAAAAACGCGGCTTGCGTACAGACAGACAGACAATTTTTTTTTTAAATGCAATTTTAGCAGCAACGCAAATACAAAATCTTCCCGAAAGCCAGAATATCTTTTGATAATACAAACTACAAACACTCCAATTGTATTATCTGTCTAGATATAGATGATTCTAAAACAAGGAGCTACTTATTTCTATAATTTCACTTATTCTCTAACTGTACTTAGACATAACATATATTCAATTCAAGTGGTAACGGCGTGCCCGCGAATCCCCTCGCTGAATAATCAAATAATGAATTAAGCTCTACCGAGGATGGCTTCTTAGAAAATGGCCAACGTAAACTCGGAATGGCGCTATTTCCGAATACATTAATACTATAGTGACAAATAGTAAAGTTGAACGTTATATATTGAATGTGGACACTTCAAAACCTTTATAACTTTTAATAAATTATTAAATATTATTATTAATAATATAAATATTCAGTTCTTGTCTTCGTGGAGTACAGTAAACCGAGAATTTCGCGACGTTATAAACAGTGAATGTAAAAAATAAATGAATTTCGACGTTTTAAAGTAATTGACGTAACTTCGAGTGATATTTCAAAGATTGGTTATAAAAAAATTTTTTATTAATGACTACAAAATGTAACAAAAATAATTTTAAACTATTCGATATGTTGACAATTTAGTAAATCTTAGTTATCTTTATTCCATTAAGAGCAATGTCGATAATAAATTAATAATAAGGTCTGATACATAAAAGTATAATGCGTTCGCGTAATAAAAGTAAGGCTTTATTCCGCCATTAAATACAATGCTGCCTTTAGACCTTGACTCTAGACGTTCCTCGTCGTTAGCATCACATATAGCTCTCAATAATAAATCTGAATAGAATGCTTTTAAAATGTTATTACTGGTACTATACAAGGAATTTGTTAAGCAACAACTCTCTCGAATTATGTTTGTTATATTTTAAAATCTATCTAAAAATGATAAAACAGACATCTTAGCTTAAAAGAGAATTAGAAATTCAGTTTTTTTTAAATTATACGAGATGGTGTCAATATTTTTCTAAGCAACTTTACTGTAACTGGAAAATTATTACTAAAGTAATGTTTATAATATTCTCTTATCCATATATGCTCAACGTCCGTCACTTGTACATGAATGTAAAACATAACAGAAACATATAGAAAAACTATTTCTTATAAGGTGGTAACTTCTGTAGACATTACACGCGTATATGGAATAAGAAATTATAAAACTGCCATTATATGTTCTTGTACATATTTTTTAAAAAGTAGCGATTTCTCAACCTCTCCGTACCGTATCTCAGTTAAGCTTATTATTTAAAAATAAAATGTACCAAGCATATTAAAACAACAGAATCATCTGTATATTTATTATGTATGCCATCTACAAACGCTTTGACACAGACCAGCGCCACCTACCGTTGGAGGCGAGTTATTTGTGTCTAAGATTCTTGCGAACATTTTCACAAATCTACAATCAGACATACGCATTAATTATTTCGTTTACATTTCATACAAGTAATACGCAATAATACTAGGATAATTGTTAGTTAGTTTTTTGCTAGTAAGTCTAGTTAAAACTTTTGAATAAGTATTTTAAATTATTGATTTAATATCATTGCTACCTTTTGAGAGTGTTATTGCGTTTAAATTGGACTTCAAATGTCATGATATAATAATGAAGTATTGATTCTGCGTGTTCATCTAGTGAACATCAATTTGTAAGGAAATATACTTGAAATGTTTGTAGATTTTAGATGTTTTTAATCCACTCCAAGGTGAGCTCTTTACAATAAATATTTTGTTCATCAAATGCATCACAAAAGTATTGAAGTTAAAAATATTAAAGGTTAGAATGTATATACGAGTAATTTAATGAGATATGATTATCATAGTATACCAAAACACATTTACCCGAAAATATAAAAAATATAAAAGTAAACACGCGTATCAAAACACGAAATCCTTCTAACAAGAGCGTCTTATTAGACTGTATTAACTAGAGAATATCCCAATAATTCAGTATTAAAACATAAAAGGAATTAAATCCGCGAATCCGTTCTAGTGGCAAGTTATCCATAAACATTAAGTAAACGCGTTGGGAACAAGTTGCCCCAAGCCGTCTTCAGGCCGCTGTCGCCTAGACATATAGTCCGGTCGGCGGGTCACAGGTGGCGCTAGGGTCGCAGTAACTCTCGCTCTGTCGCCCGGCGCGCCCCGCGCACTAAATTTATCCACATTCGCATTACTGCGTACACGGTTACTTGGGTACATCTAAACATTTATTATTGCAATACTGAATCTACAAACACTGACAAACATTACTATAAATTGTTAACAATGTTCATTCTTAGAATTCAACCAAATTAAATCTTAAAGATTTGAGGTTAATCCACAATGTTATATTTTAACCGTTGTACAAAACAAAATAAATCTCGGTACTAAATTAATATATTTTTGAAGTGTTATTTCATATTATTTGATAATTGACACCGTCTCTAGGAATGGTATAATCCGTTTAACCTTTAAACGATTCCTTTCAAAAACATAACAAAATTAGAGCCTCGATAAAGTGTTAGTCTTTTGTATTACATTGCAAAATTAATGTTCAGTATATAATTTAATTTTATACATTCAATACAAGGTCTTTTATATTAATATTTGTTCTGTAATCTATTATTAAATTTTAATCTTACACTTATATTAGTTTCAAAGGAATACTTCAAACCTGGTGTATGACCATATGTTAAGTCTAAATTCGACTTTACAGCACTGTATTTAAAGTTCATTGTTACAGCTGCATTAATTACATGAACTTTTGAATTTTAATTACTAAACAATTCATTGTATTTGGTATACCGTAAATGACTATGATTAAGTTGATTGCGGGTACATAATTCAATGAGATTTGCACAGAAATACTACTTAATTGTTACTTAATTTTTTTTTGACGATACTTGATAAACTAAAGTAGTAGACAGTTGACTGCTTTATTACATTAACTATTTAGTAATCATTTTTTTTTAAGTTACTTTAATTAATATCGTGTGAAGTGTGATGTTATTGAACAATCAGTCTTAGAATGGAAAGCTAAAAAAACACTGATTAACTGATTAACTCACCAAAATTGTATATAGTTTGCTTCCTTTTCGGAAAAACGAACATTGTGTTATGCACAGTCGTTCGTCAGTGGAAACCTTATAATTGTCCTAACTCAAAACAGTACGGTGTCCAGTAGTCCGCAACCGGCGCTATCCACCATAATCTCGATCGACCAACGACGTTCGGGCGTCACTAAAATTCACCGCACGCGCGCAACGCGTTTAAAGATGGCATTGTTTCAGTTTAAATTCCTCATCTATGACGCGATCGTTGCAAACGTATGTCGTTTATCATTCACCCCGTGATCCTCGCTCGTTTTGGCAATCGTACGTGTTGTAGTAACCGAGGCGGGTACAGACACATTAGTTAATGCGCTATAAAGAACCGTTATTAGTTTTATGTTGTACAACTATAGGCAATCGTCTTGGAAAGTAATACGTGCCTCAAAGACCAGGGCAACTAGAAATGTACACCTCCTTGCAGTAGACCGACTCGGAAATTACGATATCAACTAAATCTTCAGTCAATCTCACACTGAAAGTCGATAAGTTCAAATTCCTGATATGCAAAGTATGACGGCCGACTTTACGGTAAACTTCCTTTTAAGTAAAACAACAATGGCGTTACATAATGAAGCGAAATCCCAAGGTCGAGACAAATCGAAACCGTACATAAAGGCGGCGAACAGACCGGAACACAGCCTGTGGCCTATTTCCAACGGAAATGACGTCGGCAAACCGTGAACACGACAATTTTAAGGCATCGTTTTCACTTTCAAACCAACATGCTGGAGCGGTGGCCAACAGGCCGTGCAAACCGAGCTTAACCTATCACTTATAGTATAATTAATGTTAGAAACGAGTTATTAAAATGTTTATTTCTTTCTTTCCAGTCATTCTTCGGACGATCGTACAACAACCTCAACTCTATAACCGAGTGCAAGAACAACGGCGAATGCGTCATCAACAAGAAGAACCGGACGGCGTGCAAAGCGTGCCGGCTGCGCAAGTGCCTCATGGTCGGCATGTCCAAGTCCGGCTCCCGCTACGGCCGCCGCTCCAACTGGTTCAAGATACACTGCCTGCTGCAGGAACAGCAGCAAGCGGCGCAGTCGAGATCACCGCCTCGAGTGCCGCCTTCGCCACATCATCTCGCGCCACCTTTTCCACCGCATCTCTTCCCGGGACTAGCGAGACCGAGGACGAAAGAGGAGCTCGCGTTACTCGGCCTCGACGACTACAAGGCACCCTGCTCCGGCTCGCCGGACTCTCACCGCAGCGGCTCCTCGCCCAAACTTGACGAGAAGTCGCGACTCACACAGTCCCGGCCACCTGACAGACCGCTAACTCCCCCGAGAGACGCATACGTCCCGCTTCCCTTAGCCAATATTACCTTGCCCCACTTCCCCCATTCGCCGTTCTTACCTCCTCCGCCTTTCAGTCCATTCGCCGCGAACCATCCCCTTCTCTTCCCTCCCGGCTTCCACCCGATATACTCACGACATTTGCTCGACCACGCGGCGCTACGTCAGGCAGCCGAAAATAACAACGACGTTAGAATCGATGACCACAACGCCGACTCCTCAAAGCGTTTCTTCTTAGACGAGATATTAAAACAGCAGCGGTCGACTCAGCCCACGGTACAAGAGGATGTTATATCGGAAGCGGAATTTGTTCCTACACCACCAGCGGAAAGGAGAACATCGGAGTCTCCTCTCCAGGAGAACCCGATGGATCTTTCTGTGAAGTCTGACGGCAGGTCCAGCTCGCGGCGGAGATCTGACGACAGTGAGATAATAACAGCGGACAATGAAGACGTGGAGTCTGCGAGCGCGGGCGGCTCCAGCGAGGAGGAGGACATCGCCTACACTCAGATCAAAAGAATCAAACTGCACCCTCTAGATCTGACCACCAAAGTGTAACGTCTACCGTTACTGTAAACTGTATATATTGTTAAGAAAGGCCAGTAAATCGGATTGTGATAAAAATAAGTATAAAAATAATTTTGGGCGTTTGTTTGTTATCGATTGATTAAAGAGTCTATCCCAAATACGTAAGTTAAGTAGCGTTAGTGTTGACGATAGTTAGCCCCGGTTAAAGGTTCGTGTACAAATCTATTGTAAATATTAAATTATTCGATAATCTAAGCGTTAGGTTAATTATTGGTTTACAGCGGAGACAGCCGGGTGTCGTTACGATCGTTTGCTTCTCGAATTGATAAAGAATTATTTTTGTATAATTTCGTATATAATTTATTTGATTTAGTAGAAATTTTTCATTGTTTTGAAGTTTGTGGATTTTGAAATGTGTTTATGTTCGGGTGCATTCTGAATCTGGTATTTTAATATAAGCTAAAACTGCACCTGACTTTTATATAAAACTCTTTATTTCAATGTATTTGTATACGATGTATATTATGTATTTAATACATTCCTACGGATTTGCTCAAAATGTGAACATTATCATGGTTCTTATGTACTCAATGTAGTGAAATTTAGTCTCTAAACACATACTCAGATATAATACTTTACCAGTGGTACGTTTGTATATAATTAGTTATAAGTAGCGTGTTTTTTTTTAATTGTGTTTACAAAATGTTTTGTAAAGAAATGCATTCCACGGAGACGTACAAAATAAAATAATCATGCACTCGATTTACTTAGTTTCATTTTAATTAATTATACCCTAATATAATAAAGACATAAAATTAAAAAGAACATCAATAGAATTATAAAAAATGAATAAAGTAATTTGAAATCTAAGCCTAGGATTCATTATTAATCTTAGTGTAGCTTCCAGTTTACTACAAGAAAGGGTAACTAAAAGCTAGCCTTATCATAATACAATATATGAATCTATAAATAAAGAATACTTATCAGACCTATGTTCATATAATTCTAAGATCACTTAACGTCCTTGAGGGGCCCGAATTCTATCCTAAGTTAATTCGACTGACTACCTCCACTACACAAATAAGAATCGTTCCACAGCCGCGTTATGTAACGGTCTGTCCTTGGCGGTATTTCCAAAACAATACGACGTAGGGTCCTTCGACAAGCAAGCCTACAAATTAGTCAAAGGCCGACAACGCATCTGTAGTTCCTGTGGTATTGCGGATGTCCATGGACGTCGTTTACCACTACGGTGTCCTCACAGCTCATTTGCCTTCTTATCATATATAAAAAAAAAACTAAAAATAGAATACAAATTAAAAGGCACCTTTCTTAATCAGTTATCCATTTATGTTAGAAGAGGTTACTGTAGAACAAGCATAAGAAATATATGACATAGACAAGAATTCTTCTTATAGTAACAGGATTTACTTTTAATAATCTTCAGATAACATTAAGACCGCTTGCACAACTTTGACAAAACAATCGCACAACTGTCTAGTCTGTAGTCTCGCTTAGATAACTATGAGCTTACACTACTCTATTTTTAATTATGCAACTAAACAGTTGAATTGGCTGCGAAACAATCGACAATCGGACAAATCATGCGATAGTTTAGTCAAAGGCGTGCACCCGCTCTTATTGATACTGGTTTTCTTTTTTGTTTGATCACAAAATTATGAAACAATAGAACGGAGTACTCTACTCGTGTGACCTTTGCCCTCATTATCTTTAACTCCGGATGTCATCATTATTTATATCAGAAGCATCAGACTGGGCGTTCCCTCGCACGCCTTACCCTACTCAATATTCCTCCTATATGCAAATAGTAAATAATCAATTCCAATACGCAACGTAATGAGCAAACGTATTGTACAGTCAACTGCACAAATATATACACAATTGCTTTTGTTCCTGACTTCGACGTAATAATTAAAAAAAAATAATAATAAGTAGCGTATATTCCAGAACAGTTCTACATCTATGCCGAATTTCATCGAAATCCTTTAAATGGACATACGTAATGACATTCATCCATCCTTTAGTAAGTAGACCTCCATAAACAGCACACATTTGATTAAAAAAATATGCACGTTTTCGTCAACATATTTCTAACCAAGAATACATGTTATTAACAATGGCACATATTTACCGAAAATCTACACAATTCTTTAGGCGACCAAATATTTATGTAGCCGACTGTACATTGGATGTACAGAATCTTACAATTAAGTGATTTACTAAGACATATCCAATGTCATTAGAATGCCGATAAGCTTAGAACTAATGCGTGATTTCTAAAGCCGCCTTTTTTGTAATTCAAGATTCGCTATTGGCTGTTAACTTTCATGGAATTAATTTAGAATTAAGGTTTTTGTTTAAAGTGATATGTACATTAATGTTAACTAAAGGTTTACATAAGGTTTTCATTAATATATCGATGTACAAGAAATAAATTATTAACTTTTTATCTCAAGTATATTTTAATGGTAATTGGTTAGCAACTTCGTTGCTAGGCGACCTGCCGAAACTACATAAATCTACCATAATGGGTGCAATCGAAAGAAAGAAATCCAGAGGGCGCCACTCCATCCGTTGGCAAAAATATCGCTGGGAAACGCACAGAGTAGAGAAACACCCTACAAGAGATAATCAAGAATTTATGAAGTAACAACCTTTAGGTATAAGGGAATGATCCAGAAAGAGATTAACCTCCTGTTTTCATCAAATAAGTGACATAAAAAGTACAAACAGTCATTTAATCCTACCAACAAAAATGTAATTTCAAAGCTATCTAACACACTTGTCTAAAAATAACTTCGTCCACAAAACAGTATAACAACTCGAAACATTTCTAGTGCAATTGTAAAATAGATCCTTAACCGACGATGACACTTCGCTTCGAGACGTACTTAAAATGGAAATTATAGATTTTCACAAGAACGTGTTGGATACAAGAGACGTGGAGTTGCGTTTAGTAGACACTAGGTGTCGCCTGCGACTTCATCCATTAAACGTAGAATGAAATATTTTTCACAGTATTCTGTATTAAAAACGTAAACGCTATTCCAGACTGTTTACAATTTTATCTATATCCTACTAGATCTACTTAATTACGAACATACATACAAACACATTTATATTATTAGTAAGATTGCGTTTAGTAGTTACCAAGGCAGGCGGTGCAGTCGCATGTGAGCGGCGAGCCTTGACCCAAGCGACACGAGCATCTTCATACATCGATATAAATATACTAGATGTGGCAAAAATGCTTCCTGATGTGACGACCATGGCAACTGAAAATGCATGCAAATCTTTGAGGACGGAATACGTTCTTCTAGAAGGACCCTAGGCATAACTTTTTAGAAAGACCACTGAATATATTCATTCAACAACGCTGTTGTGCTATATAGTAAGTTTCGCAAAACCCTAGACGTTACGGAATGCCAACCATTAAGGCGGTAAGCGTGGCACTCTGTACTCTGTCAATAACGTAATTCATATATACGAGCGAGATTTGATATTAATTCTCAAGCCACATCTAGATACTTTAGTTCTATGTCAGCTAACGCAAGTGGAAACGACTTGTGTAACAGTAGTAAAGTCAGCTTACAATAACTGCCATGTTATAGGTCATTTTGTATAGTTGAATACGTAATTAGAAGAACCCACGAGCGGCAGACCTAGTGCAGGCCCCGAGCGCTGCCATAATACCCTCTTGCATTAGACCTCCTAAATTATGTTGTGCGTTCGAATATTGAAAAACGATCTACGTGTACTATTACGATCTGCGCGAACAGAGCTGAATTTATAGCACATCGAATATCTTCACTTAAGTTTTAGAAAAAAAAGAACTGAAAGCTTCACATTATTCGTGCAAAGATGTACCAAATACTTATTTGTTGCAAAACAACAATCATACTAATATTATAAATGCGAAAGTGTAGATGGATGGATGTTTGTCAGAGTTTGTAGCCCAAACGGCTGAATGGATTTCGATGAAACTTGGTATAGATGTAGAGAATAATCTCGAAGAACACATAGCCTACTCACTTTTGATTTTTTTGTCGCAGGCGTAAGCTGCATTATTGCTGTGTATAGTTTTAGTCGTTGTTTTCTCTCGATGAAAAATAAATTAAAATTTGGAGGACATTTATCAGAGAATAAACTGAACTTCGTAAGATTAATTTTATCATATTAATTTTACCAATAAAAATGTACACGAGACAGTTGTACTAATTAGTACGAAAGCGAACCATTCCATGAATTCAAACATTAAAATACTAACAAATAGGGTGCGTACCATTGAAACTCGAATTAATTCATGTGATAAATCGAGTTAGTTGCGAGGAATCCTGTCGCAGGTGACCATTACGTTTGCCCTCAGCTCGTACTTTTTACCGGCGCTTGTTAAAGTTACAAAATTTATTAAATAAATAATGATAACGATCTGGAAGCGCAGCGGGTAGGAGTTGTAACAGTTGGGGTTTTGGGTTTGATTTTGTATCCGATCTAAATTGTTAGATAATTCGACAAATGTTTTTTTTTTTGCAAATCTAAGTATATTTCTGTAAGTTATTTAATCACACTTAAACGCAGATACATTATAATATGACCAAAATTAAAAACATTTGTTAATCTATACTAATAGAAAGATTTGTATTTTTGGTTTTTTGTATGTATTGAATTAACTCAAAAACTGTGCCAATTTCAATTCTATCGTCATTCAAAAGCTACTTTTTTAATTCCACGTTTTCTGGTTTACTTGATTTAACACTATTTTAAAATCTTTTTCATTTTAAGAATCCGATTTCGCTATCTTCGGTAATATCTCCTTTTGTCAGCAATTGCATGCAATTTTCCAGCCAGTATTTCCGATATATCAACTTTTTGCAGCAATATTGCGCATTAAGTGTGCTATGTTTTAAAAATAATGAGATTGCGCTCGCCAGGACGCGGCGGGACGCGGCGGGACGCAGTTGAACGCGGTTGGACGCTGAGATATGTGGATGTGGTGTCTCATAGATCACACAAACAAGTGGTCACACGGTTACGGATTAGCGCGACAGAGTGCGAAATACTAGTAAATTATATCGATGGCTCCTATGGAAATGATAGTATCTCACAATTTCTTAATTTGCACCTTATAGAACTAACTTAAGCTATTTTTTTCTGTTATATTTTAAATGTATCGTTATAAACAACTGTATTTTGAGTATTATTATGTTTGATGCGGCCTAATTACTAAAATTGTTTAATTTTTGTCTTCCCAAATTTGCGTTTTAAACATACGATAATTTACGTAAGAGCCATCAATATATTTTTTTTAGGGACAAACAAGATTCTGTAGAGAATTTAACTCAATCCAGTATAAGAATGTATAAAACTCTTTTCCCCTTACCAAAGTCAGTAAGTTGTCGGTATGACTAGTTTTAGATCCTTTGGGAGTTCTGCAGGTTAAGTAACGACAGGTTTGGATTCGAGGTCGCATTGACTAGGCGTTACGCACAAAAATAGTTGTTATTTTAACGTTTTTACTTTGTTTATAAAATGATTGGGTGTGATCTACTTTTCTCAAAAAAATGATTGAGGTAATTTATTTCAAATTATATACATTGAGATCACTTCGCTCTGATCATTTCATGCTTTATTATAATTATTTATTTAAATACGACATAATATTAATTTGATTACTTTTTTCATAGTGATATCTGATACCTTGAGACATATTAATGTAAATGGTA